GAAACCCTGCAGCATAAATACCAAACTCTGCTGGTTTATATCCATGTCTGGGGCTTATGATGACATCATTTGGGCTCCAAGTAGCTTTATACCCACAGCTCTGCCACCTACCATGGATTATAGGCTTTTGCTTAGGCAGACTCCATTGAGTGCTTACAGTTTTCCTTGATAGACATTCCATGTTGTTGGTACCTCAACATCATGGTGCTTCCATTGCAACTTAAGACTTCATCTTCACAGCTTCATACAATAACATATTTTTTACTTTTTCATTGTTTATTGATACTGTAGGGTTGAAATGTATATCATGGCACAAATTGTGGAGATCAAAGGATAGCTTTGTAGAGTGTTCTCCTTCCACCTTTATGAGGATTTAGAGATTAAAATTAGGTTGCCAGGCTTGTGTGTCAAGCTCCTTTTACTCACAGTCATCTTGCTGGCATCCATACTATGGCCTCTAAGGAGTTCCTTGCAGGGAATTTGACTCTGAAATACATTTGCTAGCCTTAGCAACTTTTTGAACCTTGGTGTAAACCTCTATGACCCTGTGACTCTTGCATTCCTTGTGCGTGCAAAATGAGCAATATGCAGATGATGATGACAATTTCTATTTTTAGTGTGAGTTATAATAGTCTACCATCTTTTGGCTGCAGATGCAGAGGCCTATGTGGGCCTTAGTGACTGAAGCTTGGAAAATAATTATCTAGACATTTGCCTCTTGGATAATCCCAAATCCAGTCAAGTTGGTAATGAAGAATAACTATAATAGCCCTGGAGCTTTCAAATGGGTAGGACGTTATTCTTATTGTCTTAGTGCAGAGTGCATAGTTTGTCTTCATTTGCACTAATCACTTTAACAGTTACAACCTCTCAGTCTCTGTCTGCAGCTAGTTTGTTCATGGCTTTGAAAGAGCTCACACTCCTTTCTAGCACTCCTTTCCTTGCCAACTACACATTTTTCATATACTTTGGCTACACTTTTTGTTCTCTAGCACCGTAAATCTGCTGTCTGGCTGAGAGCAATGAGAATGAATGCTTTGCTGCACTGAATTTTTCTGCAAACAACTTAATCCGTTACTCTTGTGTACAGCCTGAAGATTTTAGGACATGGGCAGAATATGATCAATTCTTTGCCAGAATATAGCACAAATAGTTGGTAGCCAAGTTTCTGGTTTCCATCAGCCAATCCACATTTCCATCAATATTCTAGTTTTTCAAATTCTGACAAGAATTTATCATTAAGCTCTGTTTATAACCTTCTTGGACTTCTGTGGTCCACAGTTCCAAACTCTTCCATATTCCACTTACAAATCAGTTGGCAGGGCCTATCACTGAGAGAACATTACATTGTGTTGGGTCTTCCTGGAGCCAGAAGTATAGGAAGTTGTGAGCCACATGATGTGAGTGCTGACTACCAAACTTGTGTTCTATGTAAGATTTAGTCCTCTAAAAGAGCCATATGTGCTCTTAATTGATTTCTCCATCTCCCTAACCCTAAGATGTGCTGTTGTAATCAAGAAGTTTGAGTCATATCTCAAGAAAGTGGCATTTGAGTTAAGACTGTAGGAATTGAGAGAACAAAACATAAGGATATCTTGAAGAAGGCTGATGAGGCAGAGGCAACAAAAAGTATAAAAGCCTTGAGATAATCCAGCTCTTTCTAATAATATCAACTACATTAGATGGGATATTAGGGAAATGACAAGACAGATAGTGCAGCTGGGATAGAATGATGAAAGGCAAAAGAAGAAGAGAGGGCTAAGAAAGATAAAGAGGCAGGTGATACATGGTTTTGTGGGTCACATGAAATACTTTTGAACTTGCTGAACCTGGATCTGTGGAGATTTGGTATTTAGTGAAATGTCTAGGGATGTGTTGCAGCAAGACACAAAGTGAGGGGATTAAGAAGAAGGTTTTAATGATTCAGGTGAGATGTGGTGAGAAGGATTGGATTCTGCATGTGTTCTGAAAACAGAGGTAGCTTAACGCTCTGATGCCATCTTAGACAAAGATTGTGAGAGAAACAGTACCTACAAGACTCTGAGATAAACGTAGAAAATAGACCCTTGGGTATGAACTTACAGATTTACTGGGGATATGGGCAACACTAGCTGGAAGCAGAAGTAGGATGTACACCTACCAGTATGGATCCAGAAAATAGTTTCTTTGTTGCTGAAGTTTGGTTGCAAAAGGTGGTGACTGGCGCAGGCCATGGAATGCAGGTTTGTTTTTACATGTTCAAAGACTGTGAATTTGGTTGTATGCTGAGAGAAAAAGATCAGTTAATTAGAAGACAAAGAATCTGTCTCAGTGGATAAAGGTGCTTGTTCTCTAAGCCTAAATACCCAAGTTCTATTCCTACAACTCACTTAAAGTTGCAAGGATCGAGATGACTCAACAAAATTATCCTCTTATTTCCACATATGTGCTGTGGTATACACTCAACAAATAAATCAAATATATGTTGTTTGAAATAAAAAAGAAAGCAGGTTAATCTGTTGAGAGCGTGTGTGGCTAGTGATAGATGGAATCCATCTTTAAAGATGAGTTAGTCTTGGTTAAAAGGAAGACTAGGAGGATTCAGTAGTATGTTGACACAAAAAGTTAAAGATTTCATACGTACCTGCTCTGCAAAGTCGGAGACACTATAGTTCGAATTTGATAGAAGAAAGTCAGTAGGTGGGGGAGATTTTAAGAAAGCTTGATAATATTACACAGGGTCAGACATAACTATTTTAGAAAATGGCTAGTTAATAAATGCCCAAGTGGTATATTATCTAGATAGCTACATTCTCTCCATTCTGTAGGCTTGTGAGGGCCTTCTCTTTGAACCAATTAACAAAAATGGATCTCAGTTTTCTATTCTATAAAATGGTCATGAATATGATGAGCTTGTTAAATCAAATGAGTTAATCTACACAAAATGATTATTTGAGCACATTCTCCAGCATATAAGAACTATTTGAGTGAAAGTAACTCTTGAAAAATATTATGCTTGATCAATAAATGATAATTTTATATACAACTGAGAATGTAATATTTTCATTAAATGTAGTATGATTACATCAAAATGATTGGCATATCCATCATCTCATTTTCCTATCATTTTGTGGTTTGACATGTAAATTTTACTTTTAATTATTTTGAAAAATATACTACAGAATTGACTACAATTACCCTTGAATACAACAGATCTCAAAGTCTCCTGTCTATGTGAAAATTATATTCCTTTAATCAGTAATTTCCCATTCCACTTCTCCCCATGCCTTCAGCCTCTGGTAACAATCAGTACTCATTATGTGAAGGGAAATAACTCAGGCATAGAAAAGGAAGCACTCAATGATCTAACTTATGTGGATTATAAAAATAAATTGATATCTCATAGAAGTTAAAAACAGAATTATAATTTTAGGTATAAAATGGCCAAGAAATTCTGCTTTTCTAATTCGCATTAACTATACATAGTATTGTTGAACTATATAAACATTTCAAAAAGCTAGACAAACTGAAATTTTTACCACAAAATTATAAATATTTAAGGAACTAATACTCTTAACCTGACTTAAACATTAGATCATGTATAAATGTATCGAAATATCATGCACTTCATATACATATAGATAAGAATAAACTTAAGGTTGAAAATGTAAATAAAGAGAAAAATGGACAGGGAGTAAGTCAAAGGAAGGAGGATGGAGAAGAAACCAGGGGTCATATGATTTCTGATAAACAGTACTTTAGCCCAGAATAGAGAAACTATGTGGAGCTAAGTCATAAAGTTCTAGGAATGTAATTTCTAGAAAAGAGGAAAATTCTGACTAGAAAGAATGACTAATCTTTAAGTGAGGCAAATAGTTCTAAAACAAAGTAGTAGCTTTGAAACAGTTTAACTACAAGCCAGAGTACTGGAGGGGGTGGTCACTGAACTAGATCCTACTCTTAGACTATCACGCACTGCTTTTATACTGAATAAAGAAAGTCTCCTTATTGGACTGACTATCAAGGAGCTAGTAAGCAGGCTATAAGCTGGATGATAGATATTGGTTTGTTCTTTTTTTTTCCCAAAGAGGGAAGCATCTAGAGTTCCCCTAAAGTACTTAAGACTCAACCTTGTGAAAGTTGGCAGAAGCAGCTGAGGGTATGGAGGTACTAGATTCTTCTCACTGAGGATCAGTGACAAGAAACAAAATGCCAAGGGGAGATTGTATTTAGTAATGTCTCAACTTACTTGTCACACTTCATAGGGAAGATACTCTTGGTAGAGTTGTAGAATTTGAGATGATCTAATCCAACCCTTGATCTGTTGTCTACAAGGGACTAGTGAGATCTGGGGAGAGGAAAGGACCAGGGCACTAAACTTTTCATACACAATGGAAATAGAAAAAGAAAACCTAGAAGCAGGCTGGAGAGCTGGTTTACCCCAAACCTAGACACTCAATTTTGCCAGTGTCTCAGTAACCTCATGTACTAAGCAGGCCTGTTTCAGCCCCTCTTCATTGTTCAAAATTAGATATGCACCAATAATACTCTCAATTTCAAAGGCTTTTGAAATACCTAGTGCCCATATGTTTTCATGGGCCAACCAGAAAATATGTCTCATACGCCTAAAAGAGACTACTCTGATTGTGTCCTATTCAAATGGGTGTACTTTTCTAGACCCTAAAGCAGATGGAGACACTGACATTAACTTCTAATTCCCAAAAGCTTTAGGTTTGTGGATAGTCAGCATAGGCTAGAATAGATTCTAGAAAAAAGATTTTCAGAATCCCACTTGGATTCTTTCATATTCTTAGATTTTTTACAACCTTTAAACTGAAAGCCTTTTAGAGAAGGTACCACAATGGGTCTATTTTTTCTCTTCATTTTTGAGCAGTCAAGATCCTTGTGCTTGTCAGGACTAGACTTATGGTCAACCTTCCCTATGGCTAATCAAACCCTTTCCCTAGTGGTTCTCCCCATTTCCCACATATAAACAGAAGACACCACAGCCACCAGAAATTACTTTGGTGAGGATTTTATTGTGGAGAATAATACACCAGAAAAGTAATGAGGTGTATTATTCTCAATTAACCTGGGTTCCCAGGTGTATTTTTGGAGGTATCATGCATTAAGTTCCTGAGAAAGTTGAAAACTTATCATTGATACTTGAGGTAGCTAATCAACACAGGGGGTATATCCAGCTGGTCGATGGCTTGTGGCTGGTTGGCACGGCACAGGGATCTGCGAATAACTAAACGGGCCTGGGACAGGAGTGAACGTGGAGTGGCTGCAACAATGAGAAACAGATTGTGAGCATCAATTCTCAGTATACTTATTCTGTCCAAGTGTACATCTATTCTGCCATGGCTATTATAGTAATGCCCTCTCCCTTCTAAGAATTGTCCCAACCATCTCCCAATTCATGGTAACATGTACTGAGGCCTATAGAAAAGAAGCTCAGGGCATCAAAAGAGTCAGTCATTGGCAGATCTAAGACCAGAGACTATATAAATGCTTTCTACACACATCATCTTAGTGACCCTTTCACTCTTGTGGAATCTTTAACCTTTTCTCAACAGGGACTCCAGGAGAATAATGGAGATATTTCTAGATCAACCCAGAGGAAAGGTCTTAGATGATGATTTGGAACCCTCAGACTTACAATAAAGAAGCCTATGAGGTATGCCTGATCACCACTCACCTCGGGCTTGTAGCAGCAATTTGATGCCTTTATCATCTTGTGAGGTTGGGTCCAAGGGGAGAGCTGGAAGGTAGATGTTAGCTCCAAAATCAATTAAAAGCTGGATGTACTCTGGCTCACAATTATGATGAAGGCAGATTTCAAGGAGTGTGCGAGGCTGTGGAACACGACTTAAGAGGGCCTTGTCAGTGCAGTTGTAATCAGGATCTGCCCCATAGAGCAAAAGCAGGCGGAAACAATCGAGGTGCCCATAGACTGCAGCCAAATAGAGGGGGCCAGAACATGAAGCTATGTTTGATGCCCAGACTGGTAGTTTAGCCTTGACATTAGCTTCTGCACCATGCCCTAGGAGCTCCTGTAGGATGGCAAAAGCCCCATCGCGTGAGGCAGTGAGAACAGGAGAGCAATTGTTGTAGATGCTACCACTAGGACAGGCACCTGCTTCTAAAAGCATTCTCACACACTCCAGATGACCATGACTAACAGCAGTGAAAAGTGGTGTTTGTGCTTTGACATCCAAACTATCAACATCAGCACCATGTTCTAGGAGGACCTTCACACAATTTAAGTGACCATAAGAAGCTGCCAAACGCAAGGGTGTTCCAGGTATACCCCAGCCACTCCTGCTGTTGATGAACCGTTTATAGCGTTCCTGGTGGAGAAGGTGGTCCAGGGTACAGGAGTCATTGTCATATACTGCTTGATTGAGGGCCTGCTTTTCCCCTGTGTCGGTGTCCTCCTCCTCCTTTTCGGGTTGCAGAAGAGAGAAGATCTTAGCGATATCCATGAGGTTCATTCTGGTTTATTGGAATACCAATATTCTCATTGTAAGGAGGAGGAAATTCTAGATCTGAGGGTAACAAAAAAGGGGGGAGAGACTAAGCATCCTTATCAATGCCAGATTCTATGATTGCTCTCTGAACTTCATCATTAGGGTACTCATCCATGGATGTCCTGGTTCACAGTTTCAATTTTATTTTAAGACACAAGATGGTTGTCAAAATAGTCAGGTCATTTCAAAGCTTGGTGATTAAGCATATACTGTTCTTCCTGCCCTTGAAACTCCTGGGAAGATTTCCTTGAGTACTTGGTGATTTCAAATGAGCATAATTAAATTTCATCTACAAACAGACACATTTATACTTACCTTTGTACCATTAGTGAATCAAGTATATATGGCAAGGTCCCTATATGCATCTGGTATTTCCACCATTATTAATAGGGCATACCTCATAGATAGAGACTTGGAGATATATCTATCTCAGTTTAAAATGTGACATTAATGAGTTAGCCTAGGCCTGGCAGTTAGGAGGTTAATGGAACAAGTGTTTGTGGTATCAAACTCTCATCCATGAGCTTTCTAACAACAATCTCAGGGAGTAAGCACTCAATACCACCTCTTGTCATTTTAGATGAATTTAAACTTCTGCACATCCATGACTAAATAAATATCCCAATCTTGAGCTTTCTGTAACCTTGTTTCAGACTAAAATTCCATGGGGTTCTGGAAGAGAGGTACCTAACAAATTGATGCTAATGGTGTTGACTGATTAAATGAAGAGGTGGCATCACAAAGAATAAAATTAAAATGAAGGCAAATAGGTGGCAGAAACAACAGGTCTCCAGAGTAAGTTATCTCTGTTAATTACTAGCTTGCCCACCCCCAGTACTATTTCAAACCAAGAATGCCTTTGATTGCTAATACCTTCTCAGAGCCTTCTGATTCTCCATCTTTTGACTCAAGCCTTATCCCATTCTCTGACTCAGACATCAACTCTTTTTCTCTCCATAATCTTTACACCTCAAGAAATCACCTATGACCTAATGATGGACTCAGCTTAAACCCTAACCATTCCAGTCCCTCTCTCGGTTTTCTAAGTGAGGTTTTCTCACTGTAGTTGTAAGGCTGTCAGGGTGAGATAGCTGGGTTTGCAGGGCTCAGGTCTCCCTATTTTCCTAAATTTTTTTAGCCTAGGTCTCAGGGACTCACACCTCCATTAATTCACCATCTACCCTATCCCTCTTTGCTTGATAGAGGGCTCATGTACATACCTCTTTAAAGAATATTATGAGGTAAATGGGTGAGGTCACCCTCAACTTTAGCCCTGTCCTCACTTGTCAGCATATTATCTGAATATTTATTCTTAGGGTCCAATGTAAATAGAATTATGGGAATCAATCAGACCCAGTGTGAGGCCATGAAAAGATGGCTTGTTTTCTGGTAGAGCACTGGCTTAGAAATGGCCAGAGACCCTACAAGGGTTGGAATACATTTTGCCATGCTCCCAGATTCCAGGCAAAGATTTCCATTGACCCACATCTTCCAGTCACATAGGGCAACGCCCCTACCATCCCCTCCACAGTTAGAGGGTGTGACTAAAGGTCTCAGGGTCTAGAGAGATTTCCATATTAATAAGATACCTAAAGGCCAGAGGGCGTAGCCAATTCCTTTCCCAGACCATCCTCCCTCCTCCTTCCCTATTTAAGTCAGGTCCAGCCTGACTTAAGTGGGAGTACCACCATTCCAGCAACCTAGGTTTGTAACTCAGCTCTCCAAGATCCTAACAAAGCACCTCGGCAAGTCTCTTCTCTTCTGTGACAGTTTCTTCAGCTACAAGACAGAAAGAGTAGTCCATACTTGTGGGGCAGCTAAGAAAAATATAACCTCTACAAAAAACTTGAAAGATAAAGTATATAACATTTTCAACCTCTTTATACTAGGTCCTCTCCTTCATCTAACTTAGTAAGTAAAACCCTTTTCTCCATCACTTTTCTTTACCAAACATATCCAAATAGGTATCTATTATTTACATACCTAGCTCCTATTTACTTCTTTACTCTGTGCAGTGTGGCTCCATCCACCTTCAATCATGAAAAGCACTTAAAAAAGATAATCTTTGTAACTAAATCTACCAGGAATTTTTAAAATCTTTTTTGTCTTCATTTTCTTCCTTTCCTTTTCCTCTTTTCCTCCTTTCTTTCTTTCCTTCCTTCTTCCTTCCTTCCCTCCCCTTCCCTCTGTCCTTCCCTCCCTCCTTCCCTCCTTCCCTCCCTCCACCCCTCTCTCTCTTTCATTTGTGATATTAGGATTGAACCCAGGGCTTCAAGCATGCTAGACAAGCACCTTACATCCTCTGCTGACTTTGCTGACTTTTCTAAAGTATCTGTCCTTACTGAATGTTCTATCATCTAAAACCACATCTTCATCTTAAGGAGCTGATATTACTCCTTACAGTTCTTTACTGAAATATTTATGCTCCCCTGTTTTCTCCTCCATCCTGTTCGTTTTAGTCCCATAGCTTTAGCCCTCATCTTTATTCTAATGATTTCTAGTCTGTCATACCACCACTCTACCCCCAGGTTTCTTTTCAGTTCTATGTATATATCCACTGAGTTTCTACAGGTACTTATTACTAGGACCATTAACAACCATGAGGCTTAATCCATATCTCACTCATCATCTATCAACCTAAATATCCATGATATATATATCTTAGCTCCCTATCTCTTACTACTCCCATTCAATTTGATCAAGTCAAATTTTGTATCCTAGAGACTCTTCCAGACCATCTATCTTAGAGTTTCATACACATGCTACTTTATCTAGGCCTCTACTGTCTTGTCACAATTGTTATAGCTATCTCCTAACTAGTTTCCTAAAATGGTAACATAAAAATACAAATATGGTCAGGTGTGTTGGTGCATGTCTTTAATCCCAGCACTTGGTAGAGGCAGAGAGGCAGAGAGGCAGAGAGGCAGAGAGAGGCAGAGAGAGGCAGAGAGAGGCAGAGAGAGG